CACCAACACCTGCCCCTCACAACCACGCACTGGGCGCAGCTCTGGGTGCCAGGAGACACATCCGAGACCCAGACACCTGCCCATCCGCCCTGGGCTCCCGCCACACCTCTGCTCACTGCCCCAGCTGAGCAGCGCCAAGCAAAGGCAGTGTGGACAGCCGGGGACTCGGTGCAGCCACTCTGCCCCGCGCTGGCTATAGGCACAGCTTGGTTTCTGCCAGCAGCGAGCTATGAGGGATTTGGGCGGCTTCCTCCACGTGGAGTGCGTGAGTCGACCCTGGACGCCCCCACGGGACGCCCCGCAGTCTGCAGGCAGCAGTGTTTCTGGGACGGAACGCCAGCTCTCGCAGCTCCTGCAGATTTGGGGAGAGGGTAACAGGGATGACAGGAGGCAGGCAGGTGCCCCATCTGCTGAGGGGCAGAGGCAGGCGAGGCCCGGAGGAGTCGTGGAGCTGAGCTGTGCAGAGCTGAGCCTTGCCGTGTGCACTCGGCCTGGAGGCTGGGAGCCGCTGACAGGAAGGGAGACAGCTCTGGCTGGCACCTCCCACACCCACTAGGACCAGCTGTGGGCAGCAGCGGCAGCTCCCCAAGGCTCCAGTTACCCAGGAAGTGGGCTGCCCGGGGCTCCCCGTGAAACCCACCCTGTGAAACCCAGCAAGGCGCGAGACAACCAGGACGCAGCCCCTGGCGTCTAACTGCTCAGCCAGCGCCGCCCCAGCAGAGCCCTGCCCACAGGTGTCAGCGTTTGCACCTCTCCTGGGTCTGGGCTGCGCAGAGAGCAAGCCCCGCCCTGGGTTTCCCAGCCAAGCCTGGCCAACCGGGCTCAGTATTTTGTGTCCGTGGAAGACAGGCAGCATTTGGCAGGTGCCCATGAGCGCCCACCTGTCACCTGCAGCCATGCCTGTGCCGAGAAGTGACTCAGGCCAAGCTGGAGAGGAGGGTCTCACTGCTCTGGGAAGAGAGACACACAGGGCTGCAGAGCCCACGCTGCGCCTCTTTGCAGCCTTGGGACCACAGCCCACGCCCCCCCCCCCCACCAAGTGGGACAATCACCTCCCTGGCCGGTGGGGCGTGGGGAGAGGGAAACACGTGGCGACTGCAGCAGCAGTGAGTCTGTCTGGCTGGCCATGGCGAACTGTTAGCCAGAGGAGGGACGGAGCCCTGCCTCCCCACTCCGGCTGTGTCTTCCTGTGGGTACCCACACCAGCCGGTCACGCGGCCCTGCGCCCTTGTGAGCCGAGAAAGCCGCTGGTGGCCGCTTCCATCTGAGGTCTTGGGTATGGGTGCTGGGGGTGGGTGGGTCACCCGCAGCACAGGTGGGCGGCCCCTTCCCCGCAGGGCGAGGGAGGCAGGGGCGGGCCTCACTGCACACCATGCCTGGCCTGGCTCTGGCTGAGCCCGGCGTGGGCAAGCGGGCCCAGTACAGGAGGCTGAGGCCGGGCAGATGTCTTACCGCCCCCCGCCGGGTTCATCACTGGACGTGGTGAGGAAGCCCAGGTCCTGACGTTTCCAGAACTTTCTCTGATTTTCCTTGATCTACGGGGTGTCTCTAGACCCCTCCCAGGGTTGTGAAGAGGGGTCCTGAGCTCTGCACAGCCAATCAGTGCACAGCCACCAGCCATGGGCCTCAGTTTCCCTAACTGTGAAGCTGAGGCAAACAAGTTCACCACGTGCAGTGAGGCTAAACTGGAACTGTCTGCCCGCACCCTTCACTTAGGGCTCAGGGGCTGATTTGTTTTTACACACACACACACACACACACACACATAGACACATGCACACACGTACATGCACAGGCAAACACATGCACCCATGAAAACACACATACAAAGCACATGCACACATGTAAACACACATGCACACATGCTAACATATGAACACGTGTAAATGCACGGGCAAACACACACAGGCAGATACATGCACACATGTAAACACACATGCACACATGCTAACATGAACACGTGTAAATGCACGGGCAAACACACAAGGCAGATACATGCACACATGTAAACACACATGCACACATGCTAACATATGAACATGTGTAAATGCACGGGCAAACACACACAGGCAGATACATGCATACACGCACACACACATACACAGCTTGAACTCACACTGCCTGTTTTTGAAACGGCCTTTGCCGTGTGTTCCCAGCACTATGAGAAGCTGGACAAGGTGGACCTGACACAGGCTGTGACCTCCAGGCCTCCCACGAATGCCCCTCATGCAAGTGTCCAGGGCTCAGGGCCCTAGTTTTCCTGTCTGAACAATGGCGGGGTACACCGGAAAACACCTCGCTTTCCTTTTAACCTGCACACTCGCAGCCCCCAGGCACGGGTCTTTCTTTCTCTCTCGACCGACATGAGCAGGTTCCACGAAGCCTGGGAGATGCGCCCAAGCTGGAGACAAACATGTGACTGGGGGCCCCAGGCTGGGGGCTGGCACCAGACGGCGGGAAGGAGCGGACGAAGCCGACAGAGAGCAGGAGCCGGGTGGCACTAGCCCGCTGTGGGGAAGCAGGACCTGGGTTTCTCAAGGGAGGAGCAGCTTCGTGCCCTGGGACAGGGCAGGGGACAGAGCGGGAGGCCTCTCTGCAGGCATCCCTCGGTGCCACGCCCTCCCTGAGGCTGGAGCTGGTGTCTCCTCCTGGGGACAGCTCCCAGCTCACCTGCCGAGCCCTGCCTTGGCCACCCTCTCCTGCAGCCCCAGCCAGAGAGCCAGGCATTCCGGCTCTGAGGCCACACGCTCTCCATCTTAGCTACTCAGGTCTGTGTGCTACAGCCACCACCGACCGTCCGGCCACAGGTAGATGGACACGGCTCTGTTCTGGTGAGACTGTCCCCGCGGGCACTGGCCTCTCAATGCGGTGTACTTTCCAGGCGCAGCAAAATGCTGTCAGTGTTTGCAATCATTTCCAACCAGGAACCCGGACTGCGGCTCTGCGTGGGGACTGGGGACCAGACGCGTCGGCCCCATCCAGAGCCTGGGTGCCAGGGCCCACCCAGAGCTGCAGACTCAGAAATCTACATGTGAATAAGCTTTCCAGATGACTCACTGCACTGAAAGTTAAAAAAATACCACTGATGTTTGGGTGTCATCCCCAGAGACTGTGGCTAACGGCTCGGGGGTGCAGGCTGGACGCGGGGAGTTTGGAAGGCTCCCAGGATGGTTCTAAGGTACAGTGAAGTTCAAGTACCTTGTCCCAGAAAGATCCCCGCTCCCCCGGCTCTCACAGCCCCCGCCAGCCCCCCGTGGCAGAGCCTGTCACCCTAGACGGATTCTTTGTCACACGCTGAGCTTGCCTGGGGCCAGGATCCCATCCAATGCAGCTCAGAGACTGCTCATGCCTCTCTGACGCTCAGTCTCCCCCTCCTTGCAATGGGTGCATGCGGTGAGCTCCCAGACAGTGCTGAATCTGCAGCCGTCCCCCCTGCCCTGGGTGGAGACCCGGCAGCCTACCCCCCCCAGTCCCTCAGCTCCCCCCTTCCCGGGGAACAGGCTATGGGGATCCCCAAGGACCCCCAGAGCAAGGGGAGCAAAGAGAGGCACTCCCACACCTTCAGTAACCCCCTGAGCCCGGGGACACATAGACCACCCCCCACAACAGCTCCCTGTGTCTCCACTGGACGCTATGCAACCCTCCCCTCCCTGAACTCAGCCCCACCCCCACCCCCTCATTCCTCTGCCTCCCGTGGTCATGGGAACCAGCCCTTTCCCGGAGGGGCACACAGCATGGCCCAGGGCTGAAAGGCCCGGGGCCTTCAAGGTTGGGGGGGGAGGGGCCTGGAGGGTTGTAGAGAGGCCACCAACATGCTGGCCACACCACCCATCCATTCACTGGCCCCTTCTGGTCATTTCCCCACAGCCCACAGGGAGTACCTCAACTGCCTCCCAGACCCCTGCAATGTAGCACCTGCAGCCAAGGCTTCGAAAACCCAGGTCCCCCCCAGGGGAAACTGCCCAGGAGGCCATGGGAGGGCACCACCCGCTTGCACCGCAGGCTCCTCCCTCTGCACCAGCTGCCTCAGCAGAGCTCTGGGGGTCACTGAAAGCGGAAAGCAGGGGCCAGCTCTGGGCCCTCGACTAAGGGTGGCACACCCTGCCCCCTGCCGCACGCCCAGGGCAGAGCTGGGAGGACGGAGCGGGCAGCAGGGCTCCCTCCCCGCCAGTGCAGAGCAATGCAGACAGCCAAATTGACTGGGCACGGACTTAGTGCCCAGTGCCGTACTCGGGACCCCAGTAAGACAGGAGCAGAACCAGGATCAGAGAGGTTAATTAGCGGGACGGCGGCCGCACAGTGTCTGGGAATGGCGAGGGGAGTGCTTGGATCTCCCTACACACCCAGTGTGTGTCTGACTGCTGGGGGGCTGTCGGACTGGCTGGCACCAAACCCCCGCCCCCCGCCCGGGCCATGCTCTGGTCTGTCCTCTCTGTCGATTCCCCCCAAGGCAGAGGATGGAAGGCAGGCTGGCCTGGGGCACAGGGACCGCTCCTGCTTCTGCAGACCCAGCGCTCCTGAGCCCAGGTGGAAGCCCCTGTCATGGGGGATGGGAAAGCTTGGGTCCGCCAGGCCTGGGAGCGGATCCCTGCTCCGTGTGACCCCGGGCCTTGGTTTCATCGTCTGTAAGATGGGGGCACGTCTTGCAGGGTTGCTGGAAGGAAGACAAAGGAATGAAAAGGGTCCCGCGCCAGTGACAGCTCAACAGAGGTGCCGCTGCTCCGTGGCTGCGGGACACCCTCCCCCTCCTGGGAGAGCTCCGGGAGCAGGCTTTTCCCCACAAGGACACAGAAGGAGGGAGTCGCCTGCCCAGAGCCTCTGGGAATGTGGCCCGCGGCCCCGGCCCTGAACCCTGCCTGCAGCTCCTCTTTAATTAGGTCTCAACTAAAAATAGTCGTCCTGGGCGGCACACCTACCCCTTGGCTGGCCACTTCGCCATGCCTGAGCCCCGCCAGGGGGCAACAGCCGGCCTGAGACAGAACCCACAACGCGGAAGGGTGCACGGGGCAGGAGGCTTTATTCAAGGAGATACAGAAGCGGGTGCACGCTCCCGCCCAGCCAGGCTACTCGGCTCGCCCACGCTACCCTGTGACTCCTGCACCCCTCTCCCGGCTCCTGGACAGCCGGCACACACAGGCGTCTTACCCAGCCCGGTCAGATGGGCCCCGGGAGGCCTCGAGAGAACGTCTGGGAGAGGCTGAGGGGGGACCCAGGGCAGCCCCTCAAGGGCAGCCGCGGACACACCTGCCACTCGGTCCATCCATCCGTCCACGGCCCGGGGCCTCTCGGTCACTTGCAGCTCTGGAGCCGGGTCCTGTGGTGCTTCTCCTCGGTCAGGAGGGGGATGAAAGTGTCGCTGTGGGAGAGCTTCAGCCGGCTGCCCCAGCTCGGCCCCTCCTTCCCGGGCGGCTCCGGAGGCGGCAGGATGTCCAGGTCGCTGCGGGAGCCCCCGGCCTTGCCCTCGGCGGTGGCCCCGCTGGAGTTGAGTTCCATGAGCTCCAGCTCGTGCTTGGCGGCCGTCTCCAGGACGCGCTGCTTGTTGTAGTAGCGGACGAAGTTGTTGATGATGGGGTGGATGGGCAGCGCGATGGCGATGACGCCGCACAGGAAGCTGATGGCCGCGTTGAGCTTGCCCAGCGTGGTCTTGGGGTAGATGTCCCCGTAGCCCACCGTAGTCATGGTGATGATGGCCCACCAGAAGGACTGGGGGATGCTCTTGAACAGCGTCTCCGGGTGGCTCTGCTCCATGGTGTAGCCGAGCGCCGAGAAGACGAAGATGCCCACGGCCAGGTACATGAGCAGCAGCCCCAGCTCCTTGAAGCTGCGCTTGAGCGCGTAGGTGAGCGTCTGCAGGCCCGAGGAGTGGCGCGCCAGCTTGAAGATGCGCGCGACGCGCATGATCCGCAGCGCCTGCACGGCCTGCTGCACGTTGGTCAGCTCCATCATGCGCGCGCCCAGGTGCGTGAGCGTGAGGCTCACGTAGAAGGGCAGGATGGCCAGCACGTCCACGATGTTCATAAAGGACAGGACGAAGTGCAGCTTGTTGGGCGACGAGAAGAGGCGCAGCAGGTACTCCAGCGTGAACCAGCCGATGCACGCCGTCTCCACGCTCTCCAGCGTCGGGTGCTCCACGCGGTTGCCCTCGGCGTCCAGCACCTGCAGCTCGGGGATGGTGCCCATGCACATGACCACGGACGAGACGAGGATGAGCAGAAAGGACAGCACGGCCACCACGCGCGCCGGGCGCGACGACTCGGGCTTCTCCAGGAACTTCCAGACGCGCTTCTGGCAGCCGCGCCAGCGGCCCTCGGCCGCGTCCACGCCCAGGTCGTCCAGGATGAGGCGCACGCGGCGCGCGATCTCCTCCAGCTCCTCGCGCCGCTCGCTCAGGTGGCTCTTGCAGCAGTCGTCCAGGAAGCGCAGGTCCACCTTCCAGAAGTCCATCTCGCTCTTGAAGCAGATGGGGCAGATGCCTTTCTTCATGTGAACCTCCCCGAAGTAGTACACCTCGATGACGCACTTGAACGCGTCCGGGTCGCGGTCGAAGTAGAACTCGCGCTTGCCGGGGTCGTAGTCGTCGCACAGCGAGAAGATGGCGTCGTAGCCCCCCGCCAGGCAGTTAACCAGCTCGGCCAGCCGCGTCTCGGGGTACTGGCTGAGCAGGTCTCCGCACAGCACCTGCCGCACGCCCCCTACGTTGACTACGATCTCCATGTCGCCGCCGGCCGCCGAGTCCTGGCTGCTCGGCTCCGGGAGGCTGCGCTCCGCCGACCCGTCCATCCTCCCGCGGCGCGAGCCCTCGCAGCCCGGGCTCCGCGCGCCCTGCCGCCGCCGCCGCCGCCGCTGGGGGTGGGGGTCGGGCGGGGCGCCCCGGTGCGCCGCCCTCGGGGACCTCCCGGCCGGAGCCCGATGCCGGGAAGAGTGCTCAGAGCGGGCGGCCGCCGGCGGGCGCGCGCCGCGGGGGAGGCATGCGCTCGGCCGCGGGGCTGCGGGCGGGCCTGGGGCGCCTGGCGCGCCGCGGGGGGCTCTCGCCGCACCGGACTCACCCGGGGCACTCACCCTCGGCTCCCCGGCGTGGCGATCCTCCGCCCAGGTTCGGCGTCCTGCGGAAGCCGGGTGCCCTCGTGGGCGCACGGGCGGCGGCGGGCAGGTCCAGGGGCCGCCGCCGGACCCGCGCCGTCCGCCGAGCGCGTGTGCGGAGAGCGAACTTGAGCTCGCCTTGCCCGAGCCGTTTCTAAACACAATAGGGATCCCAGCCTGACGTCAAACGCTTTGCAAACTGTACCCTCTTCTGGTGAGATTCTGCACGGCACGCGCGCCGTTAACCGCGGGCAGACGCGCGCAGCTGCCCCCGCCCCGGGCGCGGGGGCAGGACCCGGGCTTCGGAGCCGGCCACACTGCCCAGCTGCTCTTGGGCGGCTGTTTGGAGGAGGTGGGAGGGGAAGGCACGCGGCCGCCCCTAGCTGGGGGCAGGAAGCCGCGCGCCGCCGGAGGACGCCCCTGTGAGCGCGCTGCTCCCTCCTGTGCTGGCCTGGCCAACCCCTAACGCTGCCCTGCTGGTGGCTTCTCTCTCTGGCCCCGGACCTTGTCCTGAGAGCGCACCCGGTCCGGCCTCCTGGAAGAGCAGAAGGGACTTGCCCGGGTCACAGGGCGAAGGGAGAAAGAGCCCAGCTTGGCCACCTTCGTCCGCAGCCCTCCTGCGGCCCGGGCTGGCTGAGCCCTGCAGCTGGGCGGGATCGACTCACGCCGTGAGGTCCTTGCAGTCCGTCCGTTCCTGGCTCCCCGAGGTCCGGCGCGGTGTCCCAGGCTGTCTTCCTGCCCCACCGTCTGAACCATTGCAGCGCCCCCCGCCCGTCCACCCCCCAAGCAGCTGTCTGCTCCTGTCCTGTCTTAAGCATCAAAGCTGCACTTTATTGGCATCCTCTGTGGTCTGGGCACTTGTTAAAAAAATATTCCGGGGTGGGGGTGGGGGCAGGATGAATACCGAGCGGAGGATTTTTAGGGCAACAAACCTACCCTGCCGGGCCCCTACAGGAGTGGATTGGTGTGGCTGTGTGTTTGTACAACCCCCCTGGTGTGCGGCATGAACATGAGTGCTCCCTTTTTTTTTTAAAAGATTTATTTATTTATTATTTGAAAGTCAGAGTTACACAGAGAGAAGCAGAGGTCTTCCATCTGATGGTTCACCGCTGATCCGAAGCCAGGAGCCAGGAGCTTCTTCCCGGTCTCCCACGTGGGTGCAGGGGCCCAAGGACCTGGGCATCTTCTACTGCTTTCCCAGGGCATAGCAGAGAGCTGGATCGGAAGAGGAGCAGCCGGGACTCGAACCGGCGCATTAACCCGCTGTGCCACAGCGCCGTCCCCGAGTGCTCCCTTGTGCAGACTACATCTTCTGCCCACAAGGATGGGTCAGAACAGGTGCAGCCCCTGCATCCGCCGTGATCCAGGCACCACATGGTGGGGGCGCTGTGGAGTGGGATAGGTGAACGCTTTCTGTGGTATTGCTGTGAACCTAGATCTTCTCTAAAAAATAAAGTCCAGGAGCCAGCGCTGTGGCATAGCAAGCCTCCGCCTGCGGCACCAGCGTATGGGCACCAGTTCATGTCCTGTTGCTCCTCTCCCGATCCAGCTCTCTGCTGTGGCCTGGGAAGGCAGTGGAAGATGGCCCAAGTCTTTGGGCTCCTGCACCTGCTTGGAAGACCCAGAACAAGCTCCTGGCTCCTGGCTTGGGATCAGCTCAGCTCCAGCCATTGTGGCCATTTGTGGAGTGAACCAGCGGATGGGAGACTTTTCTCTGTTTTTACCTCTCTCTATCTGTAACTCTATCTCTCAAATAAATAAAATCTTTTAAAAATTAAAAAATAAAGTCTATTTAACAATGCATTCTGTAAGCTGAGGTTTTTGTTTTTTGTTTTTATTTTTTTTTTAACTTAAGGTCACGCCAGTATTTGGATGGCAAAATCAATTGACTGGGTCTCTGAGAGTGTTTGTTTCCTTGAATGAGATGCATACACCTGAACATAGTAGAATCTGTCATGCAAAGTTAAGTGTTGTTTGGCGAAATTTCTTTTTACAAGCTTTGTTCACTCCGTTTAGGCTCAGCCTGTGGCACATTGCCGCAGAGCCAGAGCCGGGGGCTCAGAAAGTGAGTAATAGCGGCCACTCACATTTGCTCCCAGGCACTGCGCCTCGGAACACCAAGTGTTCCCAGCGTGCTTTGCCTTCTTCTCAGATCTCTGGGAAACAAGATGTCAAGTAACCTGCCAAGTTCACCAGGAGGGCCGGTGTTTGAGCCAGGTCCTGCTGGGAGCTGAGACCTGTTCCTTCAGGCTCAGCCGGGCTCGCCACACCTGGCTCCCCCAGGCTCATCTGCCAGCCCTTAGCTACCTCCCTTCACGTCTTTAGTTGCTCCCTTGCACCTGCAGGGTGAAGTTCAAGTTGCATGTCAGTCTGAGCGTAGTGGGCTAAAAGACACCCATCCATGCAGTTACTTAACCAAGCATTTGTTGAGCCCGGATGGAACCCACGTGCCCAACCCACCCTGGCTGTGGGCATCGGATTCATTGCCCTGTAGAGAACAGACTTCGTAAGTAACAATTACAGCTGAGGCTATGTGCAGGCAATGGGACTTCCCTAGCTTCCCCGCAGGGGGCGCTGAGGTGTGGCCGTCTGGTTGGAAGGTGGAGGTGGCCGCTTTTGCTCACAAGGCCAGCGCTGGCTTCGGTTTGCACTGGGGGCACCTTGTAGGGCTCCTCGGAGAAGAGGTAGAGCCCCTCCAGCACCCCTTGGCGCCATCACAAGGTGCAGCCGGAACCTGGACACTTGCAGAGGAGTCTGGGGCGTGAAATTCCGAGTTTCAATTTGCGGAGGAGACTGAGTGCTGGCCCAGACTCACAAGCTCCCAGGGAAGGGGACGGGCCAGGAATCCCTGCCGGAGGGGGGCGGAGGAGGCCGGAGCCTGCAGCGAGGGATCCACGGGCAAGGCCAGGTGCACAGAGGAGTGGTTAAGGATGGGCTCCTTGGCCCGAGCCTGGCAGGCTCTGGACGGAGGCGTGGCCTCTGGCTGTCTGGTACCGGCCCTGGTGTGGCTGAGGGCAAGGGAGAGTTCAGCTCGCTCTGTGACTACTTGATAAGGAGATGGTGGGCTTGGTCAGCTTGTGCACAAAAGCCGGGCTCCCAGCCCAGCCCTCTGCTGCCTCTGAGCGTGGGACTCTTGGGAGGGGCGCGCTCTCCCGTCCTGGAGGCCACACCTGCTAGAACATCAAGAATACAGAAAATGAGAAGTGGTGATACGATATTGGGTCCCGAGAGAAAGGATGTCAGACAGACAAACCCAGAGCTGAGGCACCCTGAGGCTCGGGGCTGTGGCAGAGCCGGCGCTTGGTGGGAGCCTGGCCGTCGGATGTGGGTTACCTGCCTTGGCCGCGGAGGGACACACAGGAGGTGGGGCCAGCAGGCCCGAGACATCGGGGTGAGTGGGAAACAGGCCCACCTCTTCCCATCACCGCTCGGTAGTTGCTGGTGAAATCCCTGTAGTGAGTGCTAACAGGCGTTTTGTTAGAGAGATCGGACAGGACAGAAAATATCAGCGTATCAGACATGAAAAACAACAACAAAAAAAACCAGTGTGGCTGGCCTCCGGCCCCAGCAAGTCCATTCAGAAAATCCCAGCCCCCAGGGGCAGCCGGGAAGATGCCCACAGCAGGTGCCTGCTGGCAGGACGCCAGGGACAGGGCCAGCCGCAGAGGCTGCACGGGCGGACAGCCCCGGCTGCGGGGGTCCGGAGAGCTTGGTCAGGGCAGGGAGCCTCCTGCATCAGAGGCTGGGTGGGGGAGGTGTGAGGCAGGTGCACCTGCTCTCCCAGGGGAGGGGGGAGGGAAGCAGAAGGCTGGCCCGCTTGCGCCCTCAGTTTCCCTGGCTGTAAAATGGGTGGGTGACGTGGACTTCTGTGCGTTCATGCATGGTTGTCGGTTGATGGGGCGGGGAAGAGAACGGCTGTGCGTGGGGGCCTCGCCAAGATCTGCCATTTATTGATGGTGTGAGGCTGCTAGCTGAAAGTGCTCCCTTGGGCGGGAGAGTGCTCCCCACCAAATAAAAAAAGAAAATATATGCTCAGGGCTGGCGTTGTGGCACAGCAGGTCAAACCACCACCTGCAATGCTGGCATCCCTATGAGCACCGGCTAGAGTTCTGGGTGCCCCACTTCCAACCCAGCTCCCTCTAATGGCCTGGGAAAGCAGCAGGAGGTGGCCCAAGAGGTTGGGCCCATGCACTCATGTGGGGACCTGGATGAAGCTCCTGGCTCCTGGCTTCCACCTGACCCAGTCCTGGCCATTGCAGCCATTTGGGGTGTGAACCAGTAGGTAGATCTCTGTCTCTCTCTCTCTGTCTCTCTCTCTCTCTGTAACTCTGCCTTTCAAACACATAAAATAAATCTTTTAGGAAAAGGGAAAAAACAGGTTCAAAGTTCTAACCCCAGTACTTGTGAATGTAACCTATTTGGAAATTGGGTCTTTGAGGCTTTAAGTAAAGATGAGATCACGCTGGGGTAGGATGTGCCCTAAATCCCATCCCTGGGCTCCTGATGAGAGCCAAAGACACACAGGGGCCATGATGGGACAGTGGAGGTGGAGGCGGCCGCGATGCTGGCACGCGCCAAGGAACCAGGACAGCATGTCACTACCGGACCCACGGGAAAGGCCCCAGGAGGCGGCAGAGGCTGAGGGCGCCTTGATTTTGGCCTTCTGTCTTCCAGAACTGTGAGAGAACTCATGGCTGTTGTGTGAGACCAGCCGGTGTGTGGCGCTTTGCCATGGCAGCCCTCAAATACCGGTGCACCTGCCCAGTTTTCCACCTGTGGGGCAAGGACACAGCCGTAGCAAGGGCAGCCAGGAGGAGAGAGGGGCTGACACATCTCGGTGCACGGAGGATGTGACCGGCTCTCGCTGACGTCCAGGCTCCGTCCTGTGCTCTCAAGACAGAGTGGAAGATGAGACAGAGGCTGTGGTCACAGAACACACGTTTCAGCTGTGGGGACAGCAAAGCAGACCCCAGGATGGGAGATGGGTATTGGGCCGAGGGAGGGGGAGATCGGGGAGCAGACAGTACGAGGCTCAACAGACCAGGGACCCCTCGCCCAGCTGACAGGGCACCCGGCCTGAGCACTGCCCCGCACGGCAGCCACGGGCTGAGTGGCTGATGAGGAGCAGAGATCTGATCTGCAATGGCCCTGCGGGGGTAGAATTCACATTCCTGTCCCGGAGCCACGACAGTGAACAAACCAGTGCTCCTGGGGGATTTGCGGTTTTGTAACCAGCCCCAGCGGCTGATTTCAGAGTATGCTCATCAAATCGACCCCACACCTTTAGCCACGACCCCCCAAGCTCTCCCAGAGCCGGCAGCCA